CAAAGACTACCTTGGATATTCGCTTGGGTACCTGCATCAAGGTGGGCGACGTCTCCGGCTGCTATCGATGACTTAGCTTGGAGAAGACGCGAATTTTCCCAAAAATGTGAGCTGAATACAGGAGGAAAGTGCACGAAAGTGATAAAGTAGAAAATGTTGGATCGCTTGCGCCCATCTACGGAGCGTCGCAATCGATTTGACCGCAAACGTTAAGTTCCGGAGGTGTGTCTTGTCTCATTGGGGTGGGCCTGACGATTTTCAAATTGAAAATTTGGAGTCTTGTTTTAATAATCTAGGCTTGGATAATTACAAATTTGTAGTCAGTCATGACGGCCTAGAAACCATCATCAAAACTGATGAATAACTTTAATCCAATAATAAAAAACTCGCCTGGTCATATTTTACTCTCACTGCAAGACAAATTTCGAAATTTGTGTTGCCCTAATAGCCAAATCCAAACTTTGTATACTGCTTGACAGAGTGAGCCACCTTTATTGCAGAGTGACATAATCATGTGATAGGCTGGCTGGTGGAGACGACTCCCATACCAGGGGCGGCTGAAGCTGGAGTCACCGACTCATCGCTACTGTACATCCCTGGAAACTAGCCCAATTCACAGATACCCTGTTCACAGACACCTGATGACCTGACACCTGATGATTCACAGACACCTGATGCCGACACGCTGCAGCAGCATTGTGCACGCGTCCGGGGGGTTCAAGCGCACAGCCTGGCGGAAGTGCCGGCGTCATCACAGTCACACCGACAGCGCGTGCCAAACCGGTGGTCTGCACCGCAGCGGCCGAGGCGGGAGGCTCGCCACTGCCGCACGGTCAGCTGAGCCGTGCACCGGGCCACGGCCGTCCCCATATCGCCTGCCTTATCAGCCCACACAGCACGCCGCTCCGGTCTGGCTGCACGTGGGCCGTCGCCGGGGCACCGCCGGATCCCGCGCAGCATTAGTGTGGTGCGAGAGACAGCGTCGGAACTCTCCAGGGTATATATATATATATATAATATCTATATATATATATATATATATATATTATATATACAAAATAGAAAGATGGCCATGCCAATTATTTCCAACCTTGTCCCCAGAGGTGGCGAGGTTGCGAAATGTAACTACTGGCGTTTTTGCAGCCATTTTCCCGCGTTCATATGCCATGGTGGCATGCCCGAGTTTGCACTCCCAGGCTACATTCGATAACTTGACCCGGACCCCACAATACTCAGAGCCCACGACAGGATTCCAATCCCGGATCCCACAGAATTCTTCAGTCCGGGATCCCCAAGCCCCCCCCCCCCACCCAGATCTCGAGGCACCGTGCCATCTCGAGTGTCAACGCATCCTCAATCTCGGATCCCCAAGCGCCTTCCCCCCCCCCAGTCCTAGATCCAAGGCACCGTGCCATCTCGAGCGCCAACGCATCCCTCAATCCCGGATCCCTACGACTTCCTCTATCCCGCTCGGGCCCCCGGGGGGCGGGCTTCTGAGCGCGTGCCGTCCGTACCGATCCTCAGCGGCGGCTCGGCGATCGGCGCCGCCAGAAGGTACAGCAGCCGCACGGTGGCCGGGTCGAAGCCGGGCAGCGCCAGCAGACCGCGAGCCACCACGCCGCCCTGCCGGCACGGCACACGAGCAAGCGGGTCAGACGGCGGCCGCGGGCCGGGGCGGCGGCGCACCCGGCCCGGGGTGAGAGGGGGGGGGGGGTCAGACGGCTGGTCCGCGCGCCGGGGCGGGCGGCCGCACCCGGGCGAGGGAGGGGTGCGGGGGGTGGGAGGGAACAATGCTGCATGTATCCGTGACAAGTCACAGTGAATTGCACGCTGGTGTCGTTCTGGAGTGCAAGCGATGGACCACATGTAGACAAGATACCATGTGACCCTTGCCCACCACCACACCCCAGCCCCACCTTTGCCCTCATGCCTGGCACCACTCCACATGGAACGGATCTCCTCCTCACGAGCGCCCAGCTGCCAACGTCGCCTGTCACCTTCCAACCCCCTATCGCCTTCTCACGCCATTCCCTCTCACCATCGAGTGGCCGACGACGGCGACGGCGGTGGGCGCCGGCCCCGCCGGGACCGGCCCGGTACAGGCGCAGCACGGCCTGCACACACTCGGCCACGAAGGGGTCTGGTCGGCCAGCAGGCGGCCCTGCGTGCCGGCCAGGTCCTCGGCCAGGTCCACCGTGAACACGTTCAGGTGGTGCCGCCAGCCGGCCGTCCACCGACTGCCGGTAGGCCACCGACGCCAGCGAACGTGCTGCCAGGTGGGAGCTGGGTTGAGACGCTTGGGGGTGGGGTCTGGCAGGGTTGCAGATGGTCTCCCACCCCACCCTGGCGGGGATGCGGGATCATGATCAGGTTGTGAATGGGCACTGGAATGGAAAATAACTAACACTGGCTGTGGGATGGACACTGATAGGCATACATGGTGTGGCATGTGGAGTGCTTGATGTCAGCAGACTGGCACAGCATACCTGATAAGATATCACTTCACTGAGCTATGTCCTTCAAAAAGAAAATGTAACTACCATGCACCATGGATCAAGCTCTTTCTGGTGAAATACACTGGATGCCAGAGCACAGCAGTACCTCTGACTAGTGCAGTGATACAATTTTTGAAATACTTACACTAATAAGCCTCAAAAATATGATGCTTGGCTTGTAAGTCATTTAACACAAGGAGAGATTAAAATCAGAACAACTGGCATTTGTAAACAGCTTAGAAACTAAGACCTTGCCCTTCAATGGAAACAACTATGATAACAAAACTTAGGCAAAGCTTTTAGAAATTCAAGCATTTACAGAGAGTCAAGTCAGCTGTCCATACCCCTAACACATACCTTGTTTGTAGGAGCCACCATTGCCAGGTATGAAGAGCACTGGGATGCCATATATTTTCCATCTCTCAAATGCTCAGTATAGACACCCTCACCATATGCATACAGCTTGTACCTTGGGTGCCTCTGGGTGATTGTTTTGCCGGCAGATGAACCGCTGAAATGAACTGTGGTTATACAATTACCCCTTGAATTGAAGGTTCTAATCACATGCCTGTGCAAAGTTGTTGAAACCTTCATCCTTAGTTTAAAGGAGGTTGTCCCATGAGTGTATGGAGCTTTTAGCTGAAACACACATTTCAAATATCATTGAGTGCAGTTTACAGCCCTCCCCTTTCTTAAGACCTAAAACCCCCTAGTTTCTGATCTACACACCTAAAAGATGTGTAGCTTTTCACAGACAGAGACCTTGTAACACAAAACATGAGCACATAATGATATTGGCATAGCGAAGCTTAGCACAGCCCCCACCATCTCTCAAGTCCTTCAAGTGAGTGCTGGGGGGAGCCATTTCACACAGCTAGTTTGACAGTTCCCCTACCATCATGCAATGTTTCATGGCACAATCAAACAATGGTCACCTTGAGAGGGACAGTTAACAAATAGATAATTTGTGCTACCAGAATCAGTCTTTTTCACTTGAAAGCTTGCCAACAGCTATAAGCAAGATGCTTCATCAAATCTGATGCTTGTTTCAATATTTTCAAATGTAGAACATTCTCTCTGACCATGTCACACCACTTTAATAGAATGATTCACATGATCTAACAATCCATAACAATAGATTTCAAAAAGCAGCTTAAAAGTAATAAGATATTAATCAGAACATAACAATGCTGTTCAAAACTATGCTTGAAAATCCCGCTAGCACCAGTCACCGCATAGTACATCTTACCAGATTCCATCAAAGGGTAAGGAAACTCCAACAACAACGCTTGGAGATTTGTATGCATTTGTACAGTCATGGAGTGCATCAACAGGCAATAATTTCCCAAATTCATGAGTTTAAGTTTAAATGGACCATGGCTACCTGCACCAGCCATTCAACATCTGATGCTTATCTGGCTGTGTGGCGATGTTGTCTCACCAAAACACCAACAGCTACAGGACCCAACAAACGTAATGGCACCATAATAAACAGAGCTTACCACAAATTGTGGATATTCGTACATGTACGTCATTTCACAGCCATTCTCTTCAGACACCGTCAGGAAGTTGTAAAACCATAGCCGATCAGAAGGAAAAGAGTGCCAGATATCACGACTGGAACTGAGGAGAGGGCCATCACGCCTCCTGCTTAGCGCGCCACGCCGCTTCACGAGTGCAGCGTTATGCAAAATGCCGCGTGATAGTTATGCAGCAGTCCGAACCGACACACAAACACGTGATTGTTCTCAATCACGTGGCACACTTCCAGCGCCCTAATCATATCAGCGCTGACGACGGCACGGCCCTACGACGACGGGAATCGGGACCCGGCAAGTAACTTTTCACTAAAAGACGACCACTTTGATGACTGTATAGAAAAGGGCCTAATGACGTCATAACATAGTTGGTTCCGTTCTCTGTTGCCTACTTTTTCATCATTGACACTGTTTATCACAATACGAGAAACATCCACTAAACTATGACCTTTGTGTGGAAAAGCAATCAAATCAGGTTTAACCTTGCATCTAGGAGCGGAAAAATGAGAGTGAGCGAAAATTACTCTTACGTTACCAGATTTCCCTTCATTCCCTCCCCCCCCCCCCATATTCCTGCCAATACCATCATCCAATTTTATGCGCACCTGTACGATAGTATTTGTAAGCAAAACTTCTCTGCTCGCACGACTGCAGTGCTCCAGTATTGCCATGGTGCGCGTACTCGTTGGGTTCTGCGGGCAAATTTTTACCTGCCAATGCGTGCAAAGCCTGATAAACCACAAGGCGGTGACTGCATAGTCTGGCATAAAACAATTAATTTTAAGCCTTAGGTGTGTGATCGATGGAAAATAAAAACCAAGTGCAACAAAAGTTAAATTATTTATCCTGATTGCATGTTAACTCATCTAATATGATATATTGGTGTTGTCAAAAAGATGAACTGGCATCTGCAGATGGCTGATTCAATATTTCCAGGCATTATTGAGTTGCCTCAGTGTAACCCAAAATTTTAACTGTTTGAATTGTGTCAGCAGTGCAAATAATAATATGACAATGATGTTGTGTACTAGTAAAAGAGTGCAAGGTGCTAACTGAGACCAGTACTTAGACAGGTCCATAGACACCTTATGTACCAAAGTGCTGTAAAATGGCTGTGATAGGACTATTATTTTATAAGGCTGGGTTTGATGGTTTAGTACCAGCCAGTGCCAATTGCAAGGTGGTACCCTCAAGGCTTGTAGTAGTTATTGTACTTCAGCACTTTTCATTCTGTGATATACAGACAATTTAGATGAATGTGTATGTCATATGTGCTCAGATGCATCTGGAGGAATTACATTCATGCTCCTCATTCTTCAGATTGCAAGGCTCGGCCTGGGTTTTTGTGCCTCGGAAATGGGATCAATATGGAGAACCACCAGAGCTCTTTGCTCACCTCACCATAGCTCTAGGATAGGACTTTTGAGAATGTCCACCCAAGAGTTACTGAAAGTGGACATCATCAATGAAAAGCAAGGTAAGCTGCTGTGATTTGAAACATGAACTTCTTCAGGCCTCGAAAGTACTTGTTTGGATGCTGCAGCCTACTGTGGTAAATGAGACATTGGGAAAGTTTTCAGTCTGTATCAGGTTATATATCTTTTTGTTCCATCAAAGCTAATGCATCATCATTTTTGTTGTTCTCAGCTTGATACAATAAAGTTGCCGAACTTGGCCCCTTTCCTCTCATTTGGTGAGATGGTTGGTTGACTGCTTGTTGGGGATGCAACTACTGAAAGCCATGAAACTGATGTGGCTTTTGCATTCTGTCACTGCTTGACTGATCAATCAGGACAGTTGTGTTTCCTGAAAAGCAATGCTAATGATTGCTTATCAGCAAACACACCCCTGCCACCAGCATATGCTGGCCTGCCCATATCCATTAGCCTCCTCAGGTGATTTCTCACAATCTCCCTCCTCTGGGCCAGGCGTTGGCGAGATCTGCATGCAAAAGAGCCCAGTGAACAGCCTGGACCGGGCCATGCTGACTGGCCTGGTAGACAGCATCTCTCGCCTTGAACGTGATGGCTGCCGTGCCCTGCTCATCACCTCGGTCGGTGCCGCCGCGCTGCTGCTCAGCTGCCCCCCCCCCCATGCAGTTGTGCTACCATTTATCTGCTGCATATATGCATGGTTGGGTTGCCATTTGTCTGATCACATGATTGACACACATGCAATGTTTTAAGTTCTTGCAACAGACAAAATATGCATGACATATGAAAGGTGCATCAAAATGTTGCATTATTATTGGTATCCAGTTCATATCATGCATGGTAATAGATCAAATCTTCAACATGAAAGATGGAATGTATGCCCAAGCATGCAATGATCTTTCTCCTGGTGGTTGAATAAGTACCCCGAAAGCATAGCATCCAAAACGACCAATCGTGACTGATTGAGCTCTCCAAGACCCAGTCTCGCCAAATGTGCTGCACCACTCCTCTGTACCGTCACCATCTCTCTCTCCGACCGTGGACCCGTGCTGCACGGCCTGGAAGCCGAGCCCCCCCCCCCCCCCCCACACACACACACCGTCACGTGACCGGCGCCGGTGGCCGCAGGGCGTGCGTGGTATCTTTTCGGCCGGCCTCAACCTCCTGGACCTGTACGACCAGCAGAAGGGGGACCTGCTGCAGTACTGGGGCATGGTGCAGGAGATGTTCCTCCGGCTCTACGGCACCAGCATGCTCACCGTCGCCTGCATTACGGTACGCCTACGGCGCATGGGCGCGGGGTCGCCGTGTGCAAATAATTATCTCAGAAGCTGCGTTCTGGTTAATGCGGACGGCCAGGCCTAGTTCAATTGTTCAGGCAACTTGGAGATTCATGGGAGTGGAGGTTTGTCCACTACGCGAACCTGCTTGTTGTAATATTCCTTCGCCAACGCACATTGTCTCGGCGCGGGGGCACCGTGTCACCTCGCACCGGCAGACGCACGCACGCACGCACGCACGCACGCACGCACGCACGCACGCACGCACGCACGCACGCACGCACGCAGCACGCACGCACGCGCGCACACACATAATACAAGGTACTTTGCGGGGCAGGTGAGCCAACGAAAGGTCAGCATGTGGCATAGAAATGGTCGTTTGCCGAGTGGTGTCAGTCTGAGCAGCGAGCTCAAAAATGCGTCAGAGACCTGCATCTCTTCTTGTCTGCCTTGGCCGGTGGCAGCCTCCCTTTCTGTGGTCTCGGGGTGCCAATCGCCTCAGGAATCAGCGTGGCCGACACGGGCACCGACCGCAGCTGCCTGCCGCGCGCCTGCGCACGAGCGAGACGGCAGCGTCACCTGTGTGGCCCGGCAGGGGGGCGGCGCCGGCGGCCGGCTGCCTCATCTCGACGTCCTGCGACTACAGGCTGATGCTGGACCAGCCGAAGACAGAATGATCGGGCTGAACGAGAGCCTCGTGGGCCTGCCCGTGCCCGACTGGTGCGTGAGAGGCAGGGCGTGGGTTGTTTAAGCGGAACTGATGTGTGAGGGAAGGACTGGTGTGCGTGCGTGCGTGCAAGGGGGCAGCGTTGGGGTGTGTGTGCGGGGTAGCTGGTGTGTGATGTGTGTGAAGGGAGGGGAAGAATAGGATCGATTTGTTTGAGGAGTTCGGCTTCAGTGAGCGAGCCAAACTCCTCTGGCTCCTCATCCCTGGCTGAGGCAATTGATCTGACCCGCGATGACGTGGCCTGACCTGATGGGGCCTGGTCTGACTGAGCAGGCGTGACGCGTGATCACGTGACCTGGTCTGGTTGACCAGACCTGACATGACATGACCTAACTAGGCTTACCCAACCCGACCCAACCGATCTGATTCGTCAGACCTGGCAGCCTGACCTGACCCTACCTGATGCAGCATGACCTGATCAACCTGACCGGCGTGGCCGTCCTCCACCTACCTGCTGACACGACCTGTCCTTCCTCACGTGACATGGCCCAGGCATGCAACGATCAGGTCTGTACACGAGCCGCCTGCAGCTACGCCGTGAGCGACGCGTGAGAGTCAGACAATATCCACGTGTGACCGCGCCGTGAGTGACACGTGAGAGTCAAACAAGATCCACGTGTGACCGCGCCGTGAGTGACACGTGGGAGTCAGACAATATCCACGTGTGACCGCGCCGTGATTGACACGTGGGAGTCAGACAATATCCACGTGTGGCCGCGCCGTGAGTGGCACGCGAGAATCAGGCGCGGGCCGCTGTTGACCGAATCCCGAACTGACCTGACCTGACCTGACCTGACCCGGCCTGACCCTGCCTGATGACGCCAACAGGATGCGAATGAACTTCTGCGACGTGGTGGGGCGGCGCAGACCGACCTGGCGTTGCAGATGGGGCTGCTGTTCCCTGCGCGCGACGCCCTGCGGATTGGCCTCGTCGACCAGGTGGCTGACTCGCCGGAGCAGCTGCGCGAGGCGGCGCTGCAGCGGGTGGCACAGTTCCTCAAGGTGCCCGGTGAGTACCGGGGACCGGGGCCGAGAGGCAGCGAAGCGGGGAGGCGGCGCCGCCTCGGTGGAAGGGTGGCACCCGGTGAGGACCGGGGATCAGGGAGGGGTCCAGAGCCCGGCGAAGCGGGGAGGCGACGCCACCTCGGTGAAAAGGTAGCGCCCGATGAGGACCGGGGATCAGGGAGGGATCCAGAGCCCAGCGAAGCGGAGAGCTGGCGCCGCTTCGGTGGCAGGGTGGCGCCCAGCGCAGCACTGGCGCTGGAGGGGATCGCGGCCGCTGGTTTTGTGGGAAGGGTGGGTTCCGCGCTCCTCACTGATGACTCAGCCCTGCTGGCTTTCCTCTGGAGTGGCTCGGGATTGCTGGTGTGGGTACATCTGCGTTCACTGACTGAAAATGTACAGGGGGCGATGGATTTAGTTTCGCAAAATAAGTGTGAGGTGGTTGGGCTGAACACGTAAGATGACTGAACCAGCCTGCAGAATACACCAAAAATAGTTTTCCCCGAAATTCAACACTGTTCTCCCAAAGCTGGGGGAAGGGTGTAGTCACCCCCTCCCTCACCTTACCCCTATCTGGATAGAAAATTACACCCCTTCACGGCGAGTCGGCAACTAAACGGTTGCGGTTGTCAACGGGTGTTAACAATAGGGTAGAGCATTTCGTATGAATCTGTAAGGAGTCCAAAGTCTGTATTTGCTACCAGGCAGCTGCACGCGCTGGGAGTGTATGTGATTTTAGCCACCTCGATTTTGTTGAGCCTGCTCATTGTCTGTGCACAGGTTTGCGGTGATTTTGCGTGCACTCTAGGCT